AGAGTTCCCTAAACAGGCACTTCCTCGGGTTACAACGTGTAGGCCAGAGGTGCTGCACCAAGGCAACGGCTACGCGACGGCATGCACGACTCACAGCAATACCTTGTAAGGGGTAGCGGTAAGCTTCGACTAGGAGGGTGGGGCATCTAGAGAATTCTCCAAGCGGAACGGGTGCTACGCAGAGGAGACGAAGATTTTTACCCAAGCCTAGGAAATGAGGAGGTCGGGGGTGGGTTATCCCTTAAGTGGTTATGGGATTTGCTCTGCGGCAGTCTCAGTTTTCGTAAGACCGTACAAGGTATAACCGAGGTATGTGCGTGTCTATAGGCCAGGGACACGTCCTTCTCCACTCCCCTCCCCTTGCCAGGAGAACAACATCCTTGTGTCTTTGTGTGTTGTGGATGCAGAGAAGGTGCTTGTCATAAGAGACTAACTAAACGGAATAACCTTGGTTATTTGCTTTGCCCTGCCTACTTTCTGTTTAACCTCCTCGTAAATATGATTGAGCTGCAGTTTTCGCTGCAAACACCGAGGTGTATCAGGTGGCTGGATCTGGCGCGGCTCGCGTCCGTATTCCACCAATTGTTGTGGCTTGCCCGCTTCAACAATTGATGGGGACTGGCATCACGTCAAACCCAGCCCCTATACACGCCCAAAGGTTCGCAGTCAGAAAGACTGTATTTCGATTTCTTGCGACCCTTCGAAAGACAAGCTTACCTTTTCGAAGTGCAGAATGAGGTGGAGGAGAGGGTGCGTTAGGTTAAACTCATTTAACTGCCCGTATGCCTTTCAGTTGGATCTGTTATGGCTTCTACTCACTGGTGTCAGGCTTCGTGTTACCGGTACGCGAGGATTTGTGTTTGCCTTCCCATGCGCCATTGTTTGATGTGTTTGTCCTTATTAGTTCACTCCCGCATTGCGTCCAGGCATAGTGATTAGGTTGCCCCAGAATTTTCGGAACGCCTCGATTGTTTTGAAGCATTACTGTTGGCAATTTCCGATGTGGGAGGGGCATTTCGCACTTTGCTAGTTCGTTTTGATAGCTCCTGTACACGTCAATGTTGATGAGAGCTGTGGGCTCTAGTCATGTGTAAAAGAAGCTCATGGATGTTGCATAGTTCTGTAGGAGCTTACATACCTCAGCATGAGGACTCGATGACAATGATTGGTGAATGGATCAGCTAAATCACCTTCAAGTCGAACTGAGCCTCGTTTGTTTTGAGTTTTCTTTCGTTTGCTTGCCCATTATGTTATACACCATCACTGTGTACAAAA